AACAATAGGGGAAGGATAGGAGTGACTCTTGAAGTTATACTTCAAGTTGTTTTAAGGAAAGTATTAAGACTTTATTAATTTATTAGCAAGGAAGTATAAAAACTTCTTGTGAACATCTTTTTTATATGTGGTTAGAGGATCAGCGAAAAGAGTTTTTTAATTTTTAAATATTATTATATAGTTATTTAATTTATATTACATAAATTCCCATTTAAAAATATATATATACTATATATATATATATTTTTTTTTTTCAAAAACTAATATATTTTTGTTAGTTAATTAATTATATTTAATAAGAATTTGTGCTACTTTAAAATTCAAAATTAAATTAAGATAAATAAAATTTTTTAAAAAACTAAAAATAAAAGTTTTAAGAAAATTAAAATAATTAAAAAGAGAAAAAATAAACCTTTTTATTTAAAAAAATCTCTATAATCTTTAATTTCAAAAGTTGAAAAGATCTTTAGATATTTTATATCAATTTTTTTTATTTTTTTTGAAAACTTTCTTATATTGGTATCAAAAATATTACTTGATTTTTTTTTTTTATCAAGAATTAAATTTTTAAGTCTTAAAGTTATACTTCAGGTTGTTTTAATAAAAATACTAAGACTTTATTAGCAAGAAAGTAAAAAAATTTTTCTTGTAAACATCTTTTTTGTGTGAGATTAGAGAATCATTGAAAAGAGTTTTTAATATTTATTATGATATATTATATATTTTCATTTTTATTTTATTAGTTAATACATTTATCTTTTTTTTTTTACTTTTTAAATTGTTGTATATTTGTTCTAAAAAGTTCTTTAATAACTTCTTTAATCCTTTTTATTTTGATATTATAGCATATAAATTTGAAGTATGCAAATTATTTAATCACATGATCAGTGTGAGCCAATAAAATAACGAAGTTTATAAATGGACAACGATAAACAGACTGACTTAAAAAATTGGAAATGGATCTTTTGGCTTCTGAATACGGATCTAGCGATGATGAAAAGATCAAGGAAATTACCTTGAAGCGAACTGACATCGACGATGACTCGACGAAAGCAACAAAACGACCAAAAGTTGATCTAGCTCCTCATGTCAGCCTCGAGGTTTGTGTGCTGTTACTTTTACTTTTCAAAGATCAAACTTTCAAGAGTTAGGGAACATGCATGCACTTCTAGATAGACTTTCTCTGATCAAGTTTATTCTAAAAATTGCTCGTCTTACTCATTCTACAAAGGAGAAACAAATTGATGTGATATGGTTGAATTTCCATCTAGGATCCTAAGCTTTCAACTTCCATTTACACAAAACCAACTGACACGCAAATTTCAGTAAACATTCCCTACGATGATTTAATTCGACCAGTTGTCGGACCCGGTAATCCATTTAATACGAGAGTAATGAACCAGAATGTTCTTACTGGCCATGTAGAAGAACAAGCATTTTCTGAATATGACTTTAGAACGCAGCAACGTACTTTTACTTCGTTTGGATACGCTGCAGACCCTTCTCTTATCACTCCTTTCAGTGGAGTAGGCGGAACAGGGTTTGTCGGAGATGTTGAGAAAGCTATAGCTATGAATGGCGCTACAATTTACGACACTACACCTAAACCAAAAGATCTTCCAAAAAGGAAACCAAAAGGTGATTCGGCAATATTGGAGGGTGATAATTCATATCAAGGTCCCTGGGCAGGATACGAAGGCGAGAATATTGGAACCGCCGTCGGTCCTCCTGAGGTTCGTTCTAAATTAATCTCTTTTAATAAGTTTTCATACATTGACTTGTTTGAATATTCAGGGTGCAATACGCAAAAAAACTGATGCAGAAACAACGAATAAAAAGCAAATTGATGTTGGACAAGAGAAAACCATATTTCATGGTATTTACATAATGTTAGAAATCTTTTATTGTTAGGGCATTTTGTAATCCTCTCGAATTTATAGGAAAATCGGAATATGACTATCAAGGCAGAACGTATATGCACGTGCCTATGGATTTAGACATAAATCTATTGGGAGAACCAGGCACACAGGAATGTTTTATTCCTAAACGTTGTATCCACATATGGTAATTTAATTATTGATGCATGGGATTTACATTAGTTGCAGTTTTATTTCGCTTACTATTCAAATTTTTAGGTCCGGTCATACTAAAGGTGTGTCTGCTATAAGATTTTTCCCGAAATCGGCGCACTTGTTATTGTCTGCTAGTATGGACTCCAAAGTAAAGGTATATATGGCTATTAAAATTTAGTATTAAAAAAAAAAAAAAAATCTTACTGTAATTTCATTTAGATTTGGGACGTTTATAATGACCGTAGATGCCTAAGAACCTATATTGGACACAATAAAGCTGTCAGAGATATAACGTTCAGCAATGATGGGAAACGATTTTTGACTGCCAGCTACGATAAATATATCAAGTTATGGGATACTGAGACTGGTATTATTAACACACAATTTATATTATTTACAAAATTGCTATTAACATATATACATATACTTTAGGTCAATGTATTAAGTCATTTACCACCGGAAAAATCGCTTATGTCGTCAAATTTAACCCCGATGAAGAAAAGCAGCATATATTTTTGGCTGGCTGCTCAGATAAAAAAATAGTACAGGTAGTTATTTCTGCATTTATTGAGTTTTGACTAGTTGATATTATTATTAATTTTCATAACTTTATACTTTATATAAATAGTTTGATGTTAACACCGGTGAAATAACACAAGAATATGATCAACACTTGGGTGCCGTAAATACTATTACGTTTGTAGATGATAATCGAAGATTTGTTACAACCTCCGATGATAAAACACTAAGGGCATGGGAATTTGATATACCCGTGGTGATCAAATACATTGCCGAACCGCACATGCATAGTATGCCCGCTGTTACGTTGCACCCAAACAGTAATAATTATTTCAAGCTATACATTATTCAAAGAATATATATTTGATGCGAATTAATAAAAAACCTTTTTTTTTTTTTTCCTAGAGAAATGGTTAGCATGTCAATCGCTGGATAACCAAATCGTTGTTTATGGAGCGAAAGATAGGTTTCGCATTCACCGAAAGAAACGATTTACTGGGCATTTGGTTGCTGGGTATGCGTGTCAAGTTAACTTTTCACCAGATGGCAGATTTATAATGTCGGGAGACTCTGAAGGGAATATTTGGTATTGGGTAAGTTTCTTTATAAGCACGAACATTCCATTCTCAGCGCATTATAACTTAATGTTGTTCTATAATCATCTAGGACTGGAAGTCTTGTAAAATGCTTAAGTAGGTTATTTATTCGATCTTTTTATCACCTTATAAATTATTCTACGTAAATATTAAATTGTTTAACTCTTAGAAAATACAAAGCTCATGACAATGTTGTGATCGGATGCGAATGGCACCCTCACGAAACATCAAAGGTAGCCACCTGTAGTTGGGACGGGTTGATTAAATTATGGGTAAGTACTGTAGTTTATGCATTCATATTTCTTTAGTTTTATTTATGATATCTGATCTTATTTGAAATCTTTATAGGATTGATACTTTCCTGTTTATTGTATTTGCGACATATTGTGTCCGTGCCTCTTTTCGTCCCTTAAGGAGATTAACACTCTCCATTGCTGTAGGATAGCTCATAATCTTTTTTTTTATAAGGTTTAAGAACCGAGTCTCTTATAATTTACTTTTTTGAAAAATGGATTCAGAGTATTAGAAGTACCCTCACTGACATAAAATTTAAATCTTTACTGTGAGTGGGTAGCAACAACCGCGCCTCAATTTTTTCTTGGATTACTGAAAATCTCGATTCTTCGTGTATTAAATACTAATTACAATTTAACTATTATTAAGTAATTCAGGTATCACTTCAGTAAAAAAACTTATTCTTTAAAATTTGACTTCTGGAAAAATAATTCTTTTTAAAAGAATATTTGTATGTCTCATAATAAAAAGCAAATGAGATTAGTGTAATTTAGGTTGTGCTCCTGGGATCAAATTTGAGAACGTATTTAGCAGTGCATTTTGAAATATTATTATAGTCGGAATTATTTATTGATATTAATAAAAATCTTAAATACGTTTATAGTATATTAAAAAACGTATTTAGAATCGTATAGAAATTCTTGTTTTGCCTCTTATAGAAGTCTATCTTGTTTTATTGTAAACACTAGAATACTATACTATCCAACTTTACCACATAAAGCTTAATTTTGTTTTAAAAATATCATATCATTTAATTTTGTTTCATTTAAAGCTTGTCTTATTATATCTTTAGTATCACATCGAATTAAAATTTGTTTTATTATGAGCATATCTGATTTACTTTTATAAATAGATGAGTTTTTTTATCTTAACTTATTTTTCACTTTGATCTTTCTATAATATTGAACTCTAAACTTGTAATTGCGATCTGAGGGTATTACTACTATGTTATAGATCTACAAGTCAATTTGAATTTGAACATATAATTTACAGATAATTGATATTATATGCAGTATACAGTAGGGGACGAAAAAAATTGTCTAAATTTTTTAAAAAATTAAAATTTTTATTATAATGTAAAATTTATTTATTTAAAAAATATAAAAAAATATTAATAT